CTTACTTTATCATTTCGTGGTGTAGGCTTTCGACTTGAGTGCATTACCCTTGCCCGTCTGTTGAGTCCCAAAAGCATATCTTTAAAGGGCTCCTACCGAACCAAGAACAAACAAAAATATAAATATATATGTTTATATCTGTAGTCTGTAGTCGCATAATGCCATAATAAGGTTGTCAACTGTTGACGTTGACATTGTCAACTCACTTGTCAAAGGCGCACATCAAAGTCAGACGACAGATATGGGGAGAAGAACCTTCCCATCCCCCGTTCTCCTCCCATTATCCCAGTCGTTGTTTGTATAGCGAAATGCGTGGGTCCTTTGTCTGCCTGCTGCTGAGTATAATATTGTATGTATGTTTAGTTGGTGTGTTGTCCGCTGATACTCACTGCGGTCCTGTTGATGACGTCTCGATAACAATGTCGAATGATGTTTCCCCCGCTGATTAATTCGCCTAAAGTTTTGGGACCATAAAACAATGCCAATTTTAAAGGCAATGACTAGGGATGCGTTCAGCAGGATATTTATTGAGTTAGAATACTGGGGACATGCGATTTCCGTCTCACCTTCCCATTCTCATCAACAGACAATTGCTTTTCCATTGGTCATGCCGTATGAGCGCCGTTTTCGGCTTGGTAATTCTTGATACCAGTGGTGAGTCCCCCCGCCCAACGGCGAATACCACGACGGAGGCATATGCCTGACAGTAATTGCCCCAACGGTTTCTCGCTAATGCCCCAAATTGGCTGTTGACGCCAAATCTCACAGTCTCACAGGGGCACCCAAAAACGGACTTGCCTATGCAATGGCCTCCTCCTGTCGTCATCTTCCTTCACGTCTCAGCAGCGTCTGTTGCTTTGCCTTCGGTAGCTGCTGCTGTTGCTGCTGCTGCGTGTCACATGAACAGCTAATTATGACTCCGGAATGAGCTTTTGCCACGACGTCCTCTCACTCTATGTTTCTCTCTCTCTGTGCTGTGCAGTGTGTGTGTTGTGGTCTTAGCCAGCAAATTGATTCATTGTAGGTTTGAATATCAACGGAGGTTGCAACAGCACGTGCGGCAAGATCTCTCCCATGGGTTGATTGCAGCTTTAAAGGACAGTTTATTGAGATTGGTGTGGAATTTTGCAACAGTTTAAAAGGTTTTATGATAGAGATAACTACTACATCAGACAGTAGGAGAACCTCTATGATTTTTACAACAATTTAGCGTAAATTCAAATTGTGTCAAAAAGCTTTAGGTTTTCCTATTTTCAAAGGAAAGTGTGCCTAAAAACAACTCTAGAAAATAGCAATTCCTTACATCTACTTCTTGCTGCTGCAGTCACTCTCAATGATTTATATGCCTATTTTGTAGCACAATTATATAAGAAACATTTTTGCTTCACATTTCAACAGAATTAATGAAGTATATGTATACCCAACAATCTAATTCCATCACAAGTATCTATGTACATAAGTACGTACCATTATGCCACATATTTGCAGCCCATGTTCATTGGTTTACTTCCATTTCCTACCAGACATTTCCCCTTTAAAACATCGCCTTAAAAAAGTGACTCGTAAATCTTAGAAATTCCCATAAAACACGCAACCGGCAAAAGCTTTAAGTTTTAACCCAAATTGAAAGCGTCTTTCGGCCCGGCACACATTTCCAGACACCGGTGGGGCAAAGGGAAAAAAAGGGAATGCAAGGCTTACACACAGTAACCGCTCTTCCCCGGCAGACGCCTTTAACAGACAAGAGAAGTGGGGTAGGGGAGAGAGCGGTTTGGGGGAGATACGCAAACAAAACAAATTGCGAACAAAGTGCGTCCTTCTCTCCTGCTAAAAGGAACGAAGAAGCGAAGGAAAATAAAGGAACCAAGGAGAGTGCGTGGTTTAGTCCTTGTTGTGCACAAGGGCGGATTTATTACGAAGTCAGTGGAAGGCCAGATACGCCAAAGGAGAACAGGAGAGGCAGAGGCAGATACTCTCGGTGTCTCGACTTAGGGGCAAGGACAATGAACTTGTCGCTTTCATTGTCGCCCGTACCTCGTCAGCGTGGAAGTCAAATGTCAGTCAAAAGACGATGACTACGATGATGATGAAGACGGAAGAACATTTTCGGGAATGCCAGCAGCAAGAGCCCAAAGGCTGGGCTGGGCTGGCAGTCCGTCCGTCTGGCAGTCTGTCTGTCAGTCACACGGCGACAGGAACAGGGACAGGCATAAAGGATGATGGATGAATTTGTGATTTGTGCATGTTAAATAAATACGTCTGGGGCTTCGGCTTCGGCTTCAGGCTCACTGCCTTCAGCGCCTGATACTGCCGATGCCAATTCCCTTTCCTTGCTTTTGGCTAATGAAGTGATTAGTGCAACGCCTCTCCAAGCAATATTCCTTATTAAGGTAACTTTGTGCGATGGGGGAAGGTAGAGAGGTGGGCGTAATAAATTGCTCAAGTCTTCGACTTGGGCTTGAAAAAAGAAGGGCAACCCAGGCGGAAATAGAACAAAGCACTTTTCATCGATCACTAATATTAAGCACATTTGTTATTAACGCCCTCACGCCTAAATCTATTTCTACATCTCCGTAAATGTATTTATTTTTTGTGTGTTCGGGCTTGGTGTTTTTCGGGGCACATTCATACATATGCCATAGATGCGGATAAATTTGCTGGACGTGCATTGGCTTTGGGTTTGGGTTAGTTTTCGGGTGTCTAATCAATTCCAATTAGTAATCCCGTCCTCTGATGTATTCGCTGAAATTATTATTTATCATTTGGTTATTTATTTTCGTAGGAAAACTCATGTATGAGAGGAATAAGATTCATTTAGTGTCTGCTTGACCCATTTGGGTATGTAATTTAAGAGATGTGATGTGTGCGTTAAAAATACCGCACAATAATAATAATTGTTCCCTTTCAAAGCTTAAAATTTCCCAGACGGCAAACTAAAGCCACAAAGTTTTTTTTTTCATGTTGAGCTGCATTAATTAGCTTTGCAGAATGGCTATGTTCTTCCCAACCAGATCTAAGATACTAAGATACTCTAAGATATCTAAGATAGTTATGTGGAAAAATAAGCCGCTACCTCTGACAAAGATTTTTTGTATACCCGGTACTCGAAGAGTAAATGGGGTATATTCTATTTGTGCACAAAGTGAATGTATGTAACACACAGAAGGAAACGTTTCCGACCCCATAAAGTATATATATTCTTGATCATCATCAATAGACGAGTCGATTAAGCCATGTCTGTCAGTCCATCTGTCCGTCGGTCCGTCTGTCCGTCTTGTTTGTCGGCTACTTCTCAGAGACTTCTCAGGAGCTAGAGCCCCCAAATTTTGCATCCAGACTGCTATTTTCTCACACTGAAAACAGTGTATTTAAAAAATTAGACCCGCCCCCTCAAAAGGGCGAAAACCTCCCAAACCTACAGTTTTGAGGATAAAAGAAAACTAAACGCCATTTCCTAGGGAATGACCATATCTATCAGATCACCAAATTGGGATCGGATTGGATCATTATTATAGCCACAATGAAGAAATTAATTTCCAGTGGCTAAACCCACCCCGTCCTGCAGCTTATATTTGTTTTTTGCACATTCTCTCATTCACACTCTGCTTCGCGCAGACAAGTCTCTGCCTCTGCCTCTGCCGCGTCTCTGCCCTGACTCTGCAGTGTGTGGCTCTAGGGGAGGGTGGCGAGCAAAGGAGCGTGTTGGCGTGAGTAGTGTTGTTGATGTAGATGACAGATGAGGAAATAATTTAAAATTTTATAAATAACCGCTAAGGTACAGATGTGGTACTGAGTGCCGGTTATAAAAATTGCGACACGTAAGAAGCATCTCACACGTCCCTTCTCGTTTTTTTTTTTAGCCGTGTTTCAACTTTATTTAAGATCTGTCTTTTGCAGAGAATTAATAAATTTCCTCTTTGGGTACTTGGCAATCTTATTTCAGTTATCTTACAATTATTTTATTATTAAATTATTATGAAAAATTTTAATATGTCTAGCCGCTCTGACAAAGATATTAACAAAAAATATCAGTTTTTTTAATTCTTAAAATAGTAAGTTCTGTTATATGAAAGAATACATAATTCATTAAAACATTTGAATGCCACAATTCTATTAGAAAAATTCAGTTTGGTTTCTTAAGTAAAAATCAGGGATTTTGTGTAAAATATTAATTATGGTCCTATGCTTTAAGTAATACGGATTAATAAGAGCCAGAGCCGTAAATGCCGTTATTTGGATCAGTTCCTATCTTTAATATTCTATTAAGTCAATATTATCTCTTGAACTATATCTCTCTACGCCTTGACCATCACTGCTCAACAGCAACATAAATTGACAGGTTGCGAGAGGCGCGAGGCAGAACTGCTCGTCCCCCCAGGGACTCGTCACACAGGATACATAGTGAAGTGCGAAAAAGAGAAGTGGATGGTGAGGGGTGGGGAGGAAAGGGCTCTTCTCTCTCTCTCTCTCTCTCTGGTCTCTACCATCTTATAAGTTGTGGATGTGGCTATTAATTAATGCGTCATGGAATGACACAACTCCGACGCTTTGGCTAGCAAATTTATGAAGATGTGTGTATGAAAATGTAAGTGAAGATGTATCCATGAGATACAGATAGTTCTTAGGAGGGTGTATGGGTAAAAGCATATTTATGGATTATGGGGGCATAAATCTCAGTTGAGTCCAGAGTCCAGGCGCAGCAGAATGATGATGGAGTATGCGTATTTTTTTAATTAGCCAACATTTATGAGGGTCCTTAGTGCATGCGTCTATGTATGTGTGTGTGGCCGAATCGAATGTTAAGGGACTGGGACTGGGTAACCATTGGGAATTATGCTGCAGACGTGCCACACAGGCTCCAAATGATTTATACATTCGTTTAATTGAGAAGTTCAAAACAGGATAGAAGAGAGAACGAGAGACGACTTTGATAGCCTGCGGCACACACACCCTCGCACAAATCCTCAAAAGCTTTGCTCATAATCGCACCTGAGCGATTGCAAAAAAAGCGAGAAGGGACGTGTAAGACGCTTCTTACGCGTCACAACTTTTATACCCGGCACTCAGTACTACTTCTGCACCTTAGCGGTGTTTTGTCAAATTTTACATTTTTTCTTCATCTTTCATCTACATGACAGAAACAAAACAAAATATAAGCAGCGGGACGGGGTGAGTTAAAAGTCGGCAGAGGCAGAAGCAGAGGGACGGCAGAGGCAGGGCCGAGTGAAACAGAAGCAGAGTGTGAATGAGAGAATGTGATAAGAACAACAAAAGCTGCGGGACAGGGTGGGTTTAGCCACTGCAAATTAACTTCTTCATTCTGGTTATAAAAATGATCCAATCGGCTCCTAATGATGATGATCTGATAGATAATTTAATCTTCAAAATTGTAGATGTGGGAGGTTTACGGCATTTTGCGGGGGCGGAGGAGGCGTGGCTGATTTTTGAAATACACTTGTAACAGTGTGAGCATACAGAAGTCTGGATGCAAAATTTGGTGACTCTAGCTTTTATGGTCTCTCGCTCAACAAGACGCTCTCAGACGCAACAAGACGCTCTCGCTCAACAAGACGGACGGACAGACGGGCAGACCGACGGACAGACAGACATGCCTCACTCGACTCGGCTTATAATGCTGATCAATAATATATATATTTTATGGGGTCGGAAACGTTTCCTTCTGTGTGTTACATAGTTTGTTCACAAATACAAATACCGGGTATAAAAATAATTAGAGAGGATATTTCTCTGCGCCCAAATCAAGGATGGAAAAATGCATAGCAATGGGAAGGAAAAAATACAAACATTTGAGATGGGACGAGATAATTCCCTCATAATTAGCAAAAGAAATCTCGAGTGATGATTTTCAATTATTATTGGCATTCGGACTCTGAGGGATTTTGCTGGGATGCTGCTGCTGGGCTTGGAAAACTTTTGGCGCATCTTAATTAATTCCTGTTTGATGGAAAACACTTCTACACAAATTGATGGGAAGGGGGAGAAAAACTTTTACCTGTCCGGACATTATCAGGGAGGAGGAATTTCGTCTTTCTTCTTCCTCTCGTGGGTTCTTGTCCGCTTCAATGACCTGTCCCAGGTCCAGGACACTCTTTTCGGTTTTACTCTGCGCTCTCTATTGAAATCCATTTTGTCAACATTTTACCTTCGAACTTCTCCTCCTGAAGTGAATTCCATTTTTTCTCATAATCTCTGATGCTTCCTCTCGCACACACACACACATTGAATTCGTCCTTTCAATCAAGTGGTCACCCCAGGAGACGGAAGGGAGAAAGGAGAAGAATCCAAAAACCCTTGCAACAATCACACGTCCACGTCCGCGTTCAACTGTCAGTCAAGTAACCGACGCCTTCGCCCACACGTCACACCCACTGCCTGGGCTGCCGCCTGCCCGACTCCTGCCTGCCAGCCTGTCTTTCTGTCTGTCACTTCAGAACTTTACTTGTTGGAGCTCTCAGCCTCATCCTCCAGAAGTCGTCGTTCTCGTCTTCGTCCTGTGGCATTCAGCGTCAGCATTCAGAATCGTCTCCTGCAAGTCGCTTGAGAGACATTGATTGACTTTCTTAATAGACTTTACGTCTTGTCAAAATTAAAGGAGGTTTCCCCCCCCCCTCCACCCCTCAAAAAGAACGACAACTTCTGTTTTTCGGGGCCTTCTAAAATCCGTTGACAGATCAAATAAATAGCCAAGAGATTAGAAGGCATGAAACCTTTAGGATTACATGAGTAAATGGCAAACTCAAATCTTGCATGGGTTTATGCACATTCAGATACATTTTATGGAAGAGAACTTGTGGAAAGTGTGTTCATCTGGTTTTTTGCTCAATTGCTTAACAATTATATTAATAGATGAAGAAGTAGCTTCTTAGCAGGCAGAAACTCAGCGCTCCTCCAGCCCTAGCCAACGAGAGGTACTGATGTATGACAAGTGACCTGTTTTAATGTTATTTTTAATGGAAGGATAATTTTATTCTTTTAAATTCAGCTCCTCCTTGAATACCTTTTTGGGACAACAACAAGATGTCTAACATATTGCTATATGAAGTCCTAACGCGATTTCCCACAGTGATGTAGTTGCAGTGTTGTTCAGTGGAAAACCATATTAATAAGGCTTTCTTGTCTTGAATTGCTTTGTAGATTGTCTTTTGCATCAACAAATCACATTATTTTCAGCGTGAGAAATTCGTCATGTCTGGCGTTTGGACATGGCCAAGCTCTAGGCCCCCAGTACAGCCCCGTGCTGTTCTTTGCTGTTGGGACCCCGTCAACCCGCGTGTCGGCCACAGTCACAGCCATCCGTCATGACTGGTGACGTTGGCGTCCTCGTCGTAGTCTCATCGTCATCGTTGTTCAATGCATCGGATTTGAACAGTTTGATGGATCAACTTGCGCACGTCCTAGTCATAACTCACACAACACTTTCCCAGCCAACCATCCATCCATTTCGTGCGGTTCAGATATGGCCTTCGACGCGCCCGTTGTTGTCCAAGGCCTGGACTCTCCTCTCTCGCCTCTTTTTCCTCTTCGCCCGACGATGTTTTGATGTTTGACGTGAGAGCACGTTTGATGGAAGATCTGTCAGGCCGGGAGCACTGAGCCTTGTTCCAATTCGCTTGCAGCTTTATCCTGTCTGTTTCAATGTTGGCCAATTTGCAAACTGAATGATTGTCGGTGGCTTTTGTTCTCAGTCTCAGTTCTCAATCTTCCGCACGTTTCACAGTGCAGCATCTCTTCTAATTTTTTTTTAGATACGATACCACCTGATTTATTGGCAATTAATAAAATTGAAGTGTCATAATTCAGAGAGCGTAAAGCGGTCTTCTGGCAGGTATCGACTCAGGACGCTTGTAATTTAGTTTCAGGTCGTAGGCGTTGAGAAATTTACAGGAATTTTGAAAGGAGGAAAACTGATACTTTGCGTTTTAAATGTTTGAAAATGTAGGCGTTTTTTATACTCGAAGGTTAAAAAGGGTATATTGTATTTGTGCACAAAGTGAATGTATGTAACGCACATAAGGAAACGTTTCTGACCCCATAAAGTATATATATTCTTAATCAGCATCAATAGCCGAGTCGATAGAGCCTCGTCTGTCTGTCCGTCTGTCCGGACTTCTGTATGCTCACTGTTACAAGTGTATTTAAAAATTGAGCCACGCCCCCTTCCGCCCCCGCAAAAGGGCGAAAACCTCCTAAATCTACAATTTTTAAGATGAAAGAAAACTAAAAACGCCATTCCGTAGGGAATGGCCATATCTATCAGATCACCAAATTATTATAGCCAGAATGAAGAAATCAATTTGCAGTGGTTCGTTCTCTTTCGTAGTGACCAGACGGGTTTTTGTACTGAGCTCCGTATTTTCCTTTCTATTTTGGATACACAACCGGTTCTTTTTCGGAATAATTCTTCTGATAATTACTGAATAACTTGCCACTTTTCTTACATATCCTAATAAGCGAGTGCATGCGTAATATTTGTTTAAAATTAATATTAGATCGTATTCATTTCTGCGCCTGTTAGTTGTGTACACTCTGTAGCTCGAGTACCTGTTCTCCCTCTCTCTCTCTCAATACTTTCTGTGCAGTAGCGCGCGCTCATGGTGAAATTACTAATAGGTGACGGTGTCACCACAGTCGTTTGCCAATAGTTGACAAAAAGGTTGTGTAGCGCACGATTTTTTCTTTGTCTTTTTCTTCCTTTTCTTCTTTGTTTACGAATGAAGACGTAAGATGAAGACAATGAAATATACATGCAACTACTATTCTATTGTGGATGTGTATTTTTTTATTTTTAGAAATAAACATTTCTGCAACATATTGTTTGCTATGCCGATTCAAAACTTTGCATGGAAGTATTTTAGTTTCAAGAGAACTATTATAACATATAAATATTACAATTTTATTATGTGTTTTGAACTATTTCGTTTTATTTATTATCGAACATCTTTGCTTTGCTGTCAGCAGAAACAATAAAAGCGAAGAATGTAGAACTTAAAACGTTTTCTATCTTTTTCTAGCGCTTTCCTCTCTGAGAGCTGAGAGAGCGTGGTGAATAAGCTGGTGCTCCTCCACTCAGCTGATGATGTTACCTATTAGTAATTCTACCATGCGCGCGCTCACTGTTTTAGCTGCCGCTGCGCTTGTTCTTCTCTCCTCTCTGCGCTCATATGTTTTCGATCCCGCTTTAAGCATTGCTTTAAGCACTTTGTCGGCACACAGGTCCCATTGCTATTTGTTTTCAGAAAATAATTTTTATTTATTTCTTATTTATATATTTAATATAAATAATAGAAATAATAGAAATAATGGAATACGTGGTTGTGTGTTCCGCTAAGACTTGCAAGAAGCAGTTCACCCACGACCAGCCAAGAACACTTGTCTGCCTTAAAAACTGGTTCTTCCTCGCTATCTGATAAAGACCATTTAATAGTTCTTCGGGATTTCAAACTGCAAGGTACTGTCTGGCCTTCGGTTAACGAGTCGAACAACCTTGTGCTCATGTCACGACATGATTTTATTGATGGCTTATTAGACCTGTCCCTGTCTCAAGTCAACCATGTAAAAAACTCCTTGGGTCGATTGCTTGATCTGTGCTTTGTCTCGGATCCGACCGTAGCGTTGTTAACACGAGCACTCCCGCTCACTATACCTGAAGACTGCTATCATCCTACTTTCGAAGTGTCCGTAGATATTGGATCTACTGTATCGGATCGTGCGGGTAGGCTATCTAAAGACTATTTAAAAAATCTCAAGAAGTTGGTTCTCCCTCTTCTCTTTCTAATTACTCAATAGATCGGTCAAATTTCACTGTTCTTAATACTCAATGCTATAGGAACTACCTCCTTCGATGCAGGATACGTTTTTCACAGGACCCTAAACAGTTTTACAGCTTTGTAAACAGTAAGCGTCGAACGTCCGCACATCCATCCTCGTTATCATTTTTGAATATGTCGGCAAACAATAATCAGGCAATCGCCGATTTTTTTGCAACATTTTTTCAAACAACCCATTCCCAGGAAAGCTACCCAGGTCATGTGTATCCATATAGTTTACCAAGGTCGAATGTCATTTTCTACCGTTTGTTTAATGTCCTTACTTCATGAACTTCAATTAGTTAAGCCGGTATTTTTACCGGGCCCTGACGGTGTTCCCGGCTGTGTACTTAGGTACTGTGCCGAGTCTCTGTGCGGACCTTTGCTTAAACTATTCACTCTATCCATCCATTATTTTAGCTTTCCCCCCAGCTGGAAGGAATCCTTTATAATTCCTCTCCATAAGAAAGGTAGCAAGTCTGACGCTAAAAGCTATAGAGGTATATCTAAGTTATCCGCTATTCCTAAAATGTTCGAGAAACTTGTAACTCCGCACTTGCAGCATCTCTTCAAATCACTTATATCTCCAGCTCAGCACAGATTTATACGGCGACGATCAACAACCACTAATCTTTAAGAGTTCACCTCCTCTGCCATCAAAGGATTCCAAGGTAACGCGCAGAAGAATGTTATTTACACTGACTTCAGTAAGGCATTCGATTCTGTAAACCATTCTCTTCTTACACAAAAGCTCGACCTTCTAGGGTTTCCGCCCAATCTGTTGAGATGGATTTATTGCTACCTGTGTTCTAGGTCTCAAAGGGTCCTTTTCAAAAACTCCTTATCTTTACCTGTTATGGTTACTTCTGGAGTACCACAGGGTAGCCATTTAGGCCCCTTACTTTTCACACTCTTTATTAATGACCTGCCTTCTGTATTAACAAATTCTCTAGTCCTTATGTATGCGGATGATGTTAAGCTCTGTGTCCAGTATAAGGACATTTCATTTCACTCTCGCTTGCGATCTGATCTCAATAGATTTCAGTCATGGTGTTGTGCAAATATGTTACAACTTAATGCCTCGAAGCCCCTTCCTGGATCCCTACACCCTCTGCGGTAGTTCTCTTGAGAGAATTACATTGGATGATGATCTAGGTGTTAAACTAGACCCCAAGTTAAAGTTTTCTGAACACATTTCTACCATGGTGAATAAAGCCATGGGTGTGCTTGGGTTTATAAAGAGGTGGTCAAAGGAATTTCATGACCCCTATATAACGAAGACTCTCTATATCTTGCTTGTTCGTCCGATTTTAGAATACGGCTCATGTACTCAGTACACCCTCAGTACAACATACATCATTATTTGCCCTACGGGGCCTGAACTGGGATGCAACTGTGAGACTGCCATCCTACCGTAGTAGACTTCTTTTAATTAATCTTCCATCCTTTGTTATTCGTAAAAAAATGCGTGGTGTAATTTTTATGCACAACTTGATCAAGGGTGATCAAGCCGCGTAAACTTTACGATTCCCATTAGACCCACTATATAACTAACTAACTATATAACTATATTCCTTTGTTCCTTCCACTGTGCAGATCGAATTATGCCTTGCACGAACCCTTTAGTGTCTTATGCTCGGAGTATAATTCCCTCTGTCACATTATATCCTCGACTAACTCCATTCCTCTTCTTAAATATCTAATACTAGCCTACCTCTACCGTAGTTAGTTTCACTTTAGCTTTGTCTTGTTTCTGACTTTGCTAGTTTTGCTTGCTTAGCTATACTTGCTCTAGTTTAGTTGTGTTTAGTTCTAATTTTCCTAAAATATTAGACTACCATCTAACTTTCCTGCATGCTCGTGACCGGTTCGGTTGATCGCGCCGCGCGTCATGCGGCAGCGCCCCTCGGTCGGTTGCGCGGGAGGAGGGCTGCGTTCTGCTTGGTTCTTGATGGTGAAGTCATTGCATATCAACGTCCAGACATAATAAACCCACCCCGTCCCGCAGCTTTTTGTGTAGAACTATACGAATATATTAATCACGGCTATGGTTTAAACTGTGAGTTTTTCAATTACTTTCAGGGAACGGGACGTCTCGCACGTATTTATTTTCTGTATGTGTGGCAGGCAGGTTGAAAACCCATGTAAATGGGTTGAGTTTTCCTTCAAGAGAGAGTACAGCATACATTTAGCATTCTTAAAAATCATTTTTATGTTTCTTAGTTGCAAATCTTTCATCACATTTCACTTCTACTAACTAAATCCGTATATCTAGTACAGATATTAGATTCTAATCCCTGCCCAACGCAAACGGATCATTGGCTGAGGTTTTGACATAGAAAATTCCGCTCTTGTGGAACGCTGGTTCGCCTCCCATTTGGACAGTCTGTCGTTGGCTTTGGTCGCACTGCCAGCGACCATTGTCCCGTGAGCAGGGCGTGCCCCAGAATCCCTTGGGGGAATTGATGGACTCGGCGAACATCGCATAGGACCGTATGTGCGAGCAGCCCAGATAGTAGCAGCTCGGCTGAATGGCTCCATGGTTGGGGTAGAAGGTGGCACTGCCCGTGGGACGCCGGAAGCCGAAGGTGGCACTCGTGTGCATGGACTCTACATACTTGGCATCCGTGGGATCGATGCGGAACTCGGCGCTGCGATGACGGAACTTGGGACCCGCCGGATCCAGCGCAAAAATCGTGTTAACCTGGTCGGGCTTCAGTCGCTTGCCAGCGGAACCCGCAATCTGTGCGCCCAGCGAGTGGCCGATGAGGTACATGCTGTCGAAGCTGGCGCCGTACCGGCGATTCAGGCTCCGCGCGAACTGCGCTAATTGGGCGCCAAAAACCTCAATTAGCTTCACCACCGAAAAGTAGTTGACGTTCGCGGACGAGGCACTCCAGTCGGCCACAATCACGTTGTATTCGCCGCGCTTCAGATAGGCGTTTTTCACGTCCCGATTGAAGGAGCCGCGCGACTGACTCATCCAGCCGTGTATCATCAGCCTGGTGGGCAGCGAGGCATTGAAGCCCGAGTGGCGCCACTTCTTTTCGCTGCCGAAGTCCAGCTCTCGGCCGCATTCGGTGAACTCCCGCTTGAACAGGTAGAACTGCATGCGAAGCTTGTGGCTGCCGAACGGGTTCAAATTGCCGGCAATCTTTTTGATGAAGCTCAGATCCAAGAACGATCCAATGCCCCTCGACTCGCGTAGATCCTTGTCGCAGGTGTTCCACTCACAGTGCTTGGCGCCCTCGTACTCATCGTCCAACGAGGCCAAGATATCATCCGATTCGGTCTCCTCGGAAAAGGATGAACGCGAGCCGAATCCATCGGGCACTTCATCCTCCGCTGGCAGCTTATCCATAAATGCATTCATCTCAGTGTCATAATCGCCCTCGACATCGTTCTGTCTGAGGGAAGGTTTGCCTTGAGCTAAAGTGGGATTAGATGTAGATTGTTAGCACATTTTGCCTGTTATATTCCCACAAAGCTAATTCCTACCATATTGTGCGAGCATCAGTAGTATGGCAAATAGTTGAGTCCACATATTCAAGCTGATTTGATGTTTTGGATCAGCTGCAACGATCGAAGCGAAGCAATCAATTTCACTGACTATTGCACTCTGTTGTGCTGTTTTAGTTTGCCAGCTCGTTTTATACACCGCCAGAGAGATATGCCAATGAGATGCATTCGCTGGCTGTTCTGATAGTTCAACACGTCACCTTCTTCCCTGACATTAGCAACAGATCAGCATCGATTGGGAAAAAGAGCGCGAACCCAGGTTTATGACAGAGCTGTGGTCAGCGAAGGGGATTTTGTTAACAATAAGATGTATTGAAATGCTTAGCACTGTGCCCTCGTAGTTCGTTTATAATTTGAATTGGAGTTAATTTTAGTTAGTTTTAATGCGGTAAGGTGGTTCACCTCTCGTGGCCATTGCAAGTCTATCATTACTTGTATTATTTTTTAATATTTAATAAAATATATTCAGACCCCTTTCAGTGCAGCCCCTGGCCAGCAGTCTAGTTCCCAGCTGATTTGAGGCTTTGCCCACTGCTTTAATTAGAGCATCTATAATGGCACGCTTCCCATTCAATTAGCTAACTGAGACTGGTTTTACTTTTTGTATTACCGTTTCCACATGCATTTGATGACGTATGTATAAAAAATTCTCAGTGCAACTAAAACCGTAGCTGTAAAGTGGGCAAAAAAAGCACGGCTATTGGCAATTACAATTATCATCTGGGCGTTTACATCTACCGGTTCACATTTCAGGTTCATCAGGCTTGTTAAGTGCCGCATTTTGCAGTCAATTATGTGGATTGTGTACAAACCTGGGAAATATCACTTGGGGCGCATTATTATTGTGATATTTCGGTGGGTAGATTTCGGTCGTTCATATATAAACATAGACATATCGCTATAGAAACTGAAACAAAATTATATTAAAACTTAACAGCTGAACGTTGTTTATTAAATTACGACTGAATTTATAATCAAACCAAAGGCAAAAGGGGAATACGAAAGATTATCCTCCCATCAGAAACTTTTTCTTCACTTAATAATTCAAGATAGATACAAATACTAGATATTAAAATACAAACACGTACATACATATTCGTCTTGTTCGAATCCTCATTTTCAGATAACTTTAGAGCTAGAGTCACAAAAGTTTGTGTAAAGACACATGTAAAATTACACTGAATCAAGTTTTTTTTTTTAAATTTCGCCACGGCCCCTTTCGGTCACGCATTGTTCGAAAATAGGCTGTGCCCACAATTTTGAAGATAAAAGACTAATAGATCAAACTAAAAATGCAACTTGTTTGTGCTTGTTTATTGTTGCTCATTATTTCTCGCTCGCACCCTCTGCCTCATGCAGTGTCGTCACTATGGGAGGGTGGCGAACTAAAAGGGCTTGTGGGCGGTATAAGTGATGTAAATATAGATAACAGATGTAGAAAAAGTGTAAATTCTAAAAATTGGAAAAAAAAACACTAAGGACAGATATACTGACTGAGTAACAGAGTTTTTAAATCGAAATTTTCTTAAAAATAACGCTTAAATGGTAAGCTAAAATCACAAAGTGTTTGGATCCCCTTTTTAGCTGCATCAATCAGCTTTTTAGAAAAACAAAGTTCTTAACAACAAGATCTTAGTTAGTTAAGGTCTTAGACCTTAAAAAAGAGAAGAACTTGTGACGCCTCTTACGCGTCACACATCTTATACCCGGTACTCAGTACTACATCTCTACCTTAGAGGTTTTTTTCAAATTTTACATTTTTTCTTCATCTGTCATCTACATCTACATCACTTCTCACGCCAACACACTCTTTTAGCTCGCACCCCTCCACTAGAGCTGCACACTACACGAAGCAGAGTGGGGATGAGAGAATGTGCAAAAAAACAAAAAAAAAGCTGCGGGACGGGGTGGGTTTACACACTGGAAATTAGTTTCTTCATTATGGCTATTATAATGATCCAATCGGATTACAATCGGATCGGTGATCTGAAAGGTATGGTCATTCCCTACAGAATGGCGTTTTCCTTTATCTTCAAAACTGTGGCTGTGGGAGGTTTTCTCACTTTGTGGGGGCGGAAGGGGGCGGGGCTCATTTTTTAAATAAACTTGTAACAGTGTGAGATTACAGAAGTCTGGATGCAAATCATGGTTGCCCTAATAATTACGGACAGACGGACACACTGACGGACAGACACACATGGCTCAATCGACTCGGCTATTGATGCTGACTAAAAATATATATACTTTATGGGGTCGGAAACGTTTCCTTCTGTGCGTTACAAACTTCCGTTATTCCCCACAAATACAATATACCCTACTTACTCTTCGAGTACCGGGTATAAAAATCCGCTATTATAGAGTACTTTGCTGAAGGGCCAATTATTCCCATAAGCTACAGATATGTCTAAGAGTTGGGGCACTAATTCATTGTAGCAGTTCGTTGCGGATTTTATTGATGATGATAAGGACGATATGTGCATCCGCTGGCTGTCTTCTCAGTGTGTCGGGGCCACAGGAAGTAAGTATGTCGGGTCGGTGCCGTTTCGAGATACCTTTTTGATTGATTGATGACGAATCGGGCGTCGTAAGCAAGAGGCAAATAAGTTTCTTCACAGCCAACCCAGACGGAAACGTGGAGAAGCCCTGGAATTGGGGATTCATTCGCTTGTTGCTTCTTAAGGAAGGACCGTGGGAATACTTCCGAAAATGCCTATAAACAGACACCAACGCTCACGCACATATTGTCAGGGCTCTTTTGGGGTAGAGGCTTCCACAGACAAAGGGTGAGAGAGAAGAGCGTCGGGGTAGAGGCTTCCACAAACAGACGAGACGTAGAGGCAGAAAAAAATGGGGACTAGGACAAGGCCGTGGTAGACCGAAATTATGTCGCAATGGTCTGCCGTGTGGCAGAAGAGGCCACGCAAACGTCACCCTGTCGCAAGAGGGGCAGAGGTCGGGAGGGGAAACTCAGCAGGAAAAAAACTGAAGGAAAAGCCCAACAAAGGATCTTAGAAAAAGAAGAAAAAGTTGAGGAAAAATTGTTTTTCCAGCAGTTTGTCCGTTTCGGAGTTGGAGTTGAATTTCTTCTTCCTTCTTGGCGAGGCACAAAACCTCTGAATAGCGATTTTTACATGTTTTACTGTTGCCCCAGCACACACACACACACATGCAGATATACTTTATGTGTGCGCGTGTGCTGGGGGAGGGGCTTTGGTAGGTAGGCAGCAGCCAGGCTACCGAGCGAGCGTCTGCCTGCCGTCTGCTGCCTGAAATGTTGCCTTGCCTCAGCTTTTGGTATTCGCCTTTCTGCTCAGAGTTCAAGAGCGCCTCGCCACGCCACGCCATGCCAGGCCCCAGCCGAAACCTATACGACCTCCAAAATCCCCCCCATCCTGCCACACGTTCCATTCATCGAACCCAATGGCAACTTGTTGATTTTTTGGTATGAATTTCACATTTCACAAAAGCCCAACCAATTTCGCCTTTCATTGGCGTTCGGTTTCTTTTTCTCTTGCTTTCTCCGTCCCTCTTTCTTTTCTCTGTTTCGCTGTGGTTGTTTTGTGTGGCTTTCATTTCCCTTTTTCCCCCCATTTTCAAGCGAACTAAGCTGTGCTCCACGGAAATCAATAATCGATTTTGTTGTAATGGCTGTGACTTTTTGTGTGCCCTTTTTTTTGGTTGCCTTGGCTCTTCACTTCTTTAAAGCAGCGTCGAAAATTCCTTTTAGCTCTTATTCCGCTTGGTTTAGGGGTTTTTTCGTTAAAGAGTTTAAGACCACGAATGTGAGCGAATTGCGTTTTTGTGTGTGGTATTTTCCATGAGTAGCTCGTTTTTGAAAATGTGAGGAGTATGTACTAGCAGGGAGTTTCGAGTACAATTTGAGTCTTATGGGGCAATAATTATGTGATAGTAAGGAAAAGGCCAAAGGGCTAAAGGCCTAACGGCTAACAGTTGGTTGGTTTGACCAGCAACTTACCTTAAAAGCTTCCATAGAACCTTTTGTAGTTAAAAATATCTTTCCTTAAGAGCCTATCAAATATACCTTTGAATATATCTCAGTAAACTCTTTCGCTCCACACCTCAAAGCAGTCAAAGCACAGGCCATTCTTTTAGCAACTAGTTGCCATAATAGAGTCATGATTTCAATCCCATTTTGACAATCCAATTACACATTTAGCAAGCTCTAAGCTCTAAGTTGCAAGAGCAGCCGTGTAAATGCGTGGGCCTCGTGATTACTGCTAACGATAGCAGCGGATGCCTGTCTGTCTGTTATGTGGCATAGCCCAATGGGGTTAATTGTGTTTCGCTTCGATTCGATTGCAGGCTTCTCGATTAAGCGATCAGCAGTATCCAGCAGTATGCCTCGCGATGCGAACCACCTCCTCACGCTAAACAGTTGACGGACGCTCTTAAGGCATATTTAGATCAAGAGAAAAAGCGAAAACCTTTTCGTGATTTATGGATTTATTAGGCATAAATCAGAGGAGGAGCAGGAGGAGGGTCAATGGCAAATGTAGCATAAAGTGGCGTCGCAGCCGTTTACACTTGGCAGCAAGTGTCAGGCGGCATTAGGAGATGTCGGTCCGTAGGTTGGTTTCGTCTACCGAAAGCTAAAGGTAATTCAAAACCAAAGAAATCGTAAGGCACTGATAATCCCATTTGTTTGTTGCCCAAAAAAGTATTAGGTAGCACATAAATTCCATTTCGCTAATCGGAAATTAATAAATGTCAGCCGCTTGAAGAGGACTCCACCTCGAATCGGAGTCTCCTTGCAGCTTCTGCGCTTCACTCTTCGCTTTCGTTGGCCTTTCTTAATTATTTTGCTTGGCTTTATTCTATTATTTTTTTTTTTTGGTTAATAGGCTATTTGATTGGGTGTAGTCTGCGTTCAGTTTGGCGTAGAGTGTCCGAGGGAATTACTTGAGCCGTTGTCTCAATTGATGAACGAGCAGCGCACAATAAATTATGGCATGTGGATCGAGTTTCAACGCATGAAGACAGAGACAAATGTCTCAGAAAATCGAAGAAGAAATTTACAAAGAATGGAAAAGAAGATGTTGGGTTAAAGAAGATTTTGCAAAGAGGTTTTAGTCGAGCTTATGAGTATTTGTATGTGTATATTTTTGTAATAAAAGTGAAGCCAAGGGTCTAAAATAGCTTAAATCGTGACGCCATAAGGTGCAATTTTAATCATACAAATAGTTTAAAAATCTCAGAACCAAAAGTTTGTGCTATAATTTCGGTTATTACCCACAAAAGTTCGTACAACTTAACATCAACTCTCAGGAAGAGCCTCCCACTGCAACAACTCCATGAAACAGACTCTTACCTACCCATGGAACATGGATCTCACGCCCACCAGACAACATTAACCTCAATCTGCATTGCAGCCAGAGAGCAGGGAGGAGGAGGAGCTGAACCTGTCCTGTGTCCTCGATTGTCCTGCATTGTTAATGTCTTCGTTTAGCATTTAATTTTGCTGTGGTCGTTGGCTCCTCGTTTTTCCCCAGGACCCAGAAGGACCTGCTTCAATGCGTGCGTGGACCACCACGTGACGAATTGGCTGGAATGCACAGAGAGAGACGAGATGAAGGACTCCACGCACAAACACTTCGCAGCCCACCACACTCCCTCGATCCCATGGAGCCGCTGCCCAACTCATAATTCATCCGGATAGCAACACCGAACGAGGAGGTTCCTGTTTTCTATTTGGAGTTTTACTGCTGGCAGGGAAGACTGAAGGGAACTGCCGTTGGTGACGTTTTGACACCATTTTCGGTGCGGCGATGATATGGCATTCATCTTGACAGGCATAACTGCCTCTGATGCCTGCCTTCCACAGCCACACCAAGCGTGTGTGTGTGCCCCACCAGCAGCATGATGATGATGATGGTGATGAAGTCCAAAGTCCGAATGTCCGTTCATCTGTGGAGTGTGTGGAGCGAGTTCTGTGTGTGTGTGTGTGTGTGTGTGTGTGTGTGTGTGTGTGTGTTATGCTGTGTTCGTGATGCATTTACGTCACTAACTTGAATGTTGCAACGCATTTTCGGTCATCCAAAACACAGACACACACGCAGTGACACAGAGAGACACACACACTAGGAGGCAAGGACGTGCAGAGAGACACTGGAAACATGTTGCATACTGCGTTCTGCTGTGTTCCGTCCTTCTGGTTTGCGAAAACCAAAAAATGTCCTTGACACTTAATTCACGATGCAATAATGTGAACTGAAACTGAATGAAGTTGTTTACCCAACGTCCTGTCCCCAATACTGTGCCACATTGGGGCAAAGTGGCCATAAAATTACGATTTTGATTTGTTAAGCAAAGAAATTGTATTCAACGTGGGACATAATGGAAAATTCTATAATTGTGCATAAAGTGTTAAATATTTTCATTTATTTTAATCCTACCTGTACTTTCATTTAATGGGTCCATCTATAGTTCTAATGAACTTGATAACGATGGCTATATTCACGCCTGCCCATACTTTCTTGGGCTTGCGACCAAAGACAACAGTGCTAAAGACTATAACTACTCTGGAGTTTTTCATTATCGAAATACTTGTAAAGAAAAACAGAAAAGCTATTAAATGTATGGATAATAAATGTAACTATTGTAAGTTAAAGTTTTAAGAATCAAATGGTAAGTAAGTATTAAAGTATATTCCAAAGGTTCCCATATATTCTGTAACTTGAAATCCATAAAAATGTATCTTGTTATACTGTTTCACTGGTGTTAAGCGCGTGTGCTTTAAAAATAGTATACTGAAAAGTTTTAGCC